TTCTGTTTTAATATTTAGGTATTTGATGCATTTTGACTTCAGTTTAGTACATGGTGATAGACATCAGTCTAGTTTTAGTCTTTGGCATCTGGACAGCCAGTTTTCCTAGCACCATTTATTGAAGAAGCTATCTTTCTTCCGGTGAACATGTTTGGCCCCTTTGTCAAAAATAAAGTGATTGAGTATGTTTGTAGTTGTTTATGCATCTTCTAACTTTTTCCATTGATCCTCTGGTCTGATTTTTGCCAGTACCATGCTGATTTTATCACAGTAGTGTTATAGTATAATTTCAAGTCAGGGATTGTGATGCCTCCCGCTTTGCATTTGTTGCCCAGGACTGCCTTTGCTATTCTAGGTCTCTTGTGGTTCCAGATGAATTTTAAGAATGTTTTCTCTAAGTCTGTGAGGTATGCTAATTTTATTTTGATTGGGATTGTATTGAATCTGTGTAACAGTTTTGGGAGTATGGCCATTTTCACAATGTTGGTTCTTCCTATCCATAAACAAGGAATATCTTTCCATTTTCTGAAATCCTCTTTGATCTCTTCTTTCAGTAGATAAATCTGTTGGTTTGTTTACTTTTTTGGTACTGGGAATCAAATTCAGGACCTTGAGCTTGCCAGGCAGTTGCTATGCCTCTGAGCTATACCCTGGCCAGATCTCTTTTTTAAGAGAACCATAATTTTCACTGTATAGATCATTTACTTCCCTCAGATTGATTCCTAAGTTTTTCACTGTTTTGGATGCTATTGTGAAAGGTATGGTTTCTCTAATTTCTCTCTCAGTGTATTTATTGTTAACGTACAGCAATACTATTGATAGTTGAGTGCTGACTGTATGTCTAGCCATGCTACTGAATTTGGTTATTTAATCTAGAAATCTTTTGGTGGAGCTTTTGTGATCTTCAATATAGAGTATCATGTCATCTGTGAATAATGATAATTTCACTTCCTTTCATGTCCATAGTCCTTTTATATCTCTCTCTTATTTAATTGCTCTGGCTAATTTTTCTAGAACTACATTCAATGGGAGTGGTGACAGTAAACATCCTTGTCTTGTTCCTGGTTTTAAAGTGAAGGCTTTCATTTTATTCCATTTAGTATGATGTTGGCTGTTGGTTTGTCCTAGATGGCTTTTATAAGATTGAGTTAAAGAGCATCTGTGTTGATTTTCTGTAGGGTTTTAACCATGACTGAGTGTTGAACTTTGCCAAACATTTTTCTGCATCTATTGAGATGATCATGTGCTTATTGTCTTTAGCTGTCTTGATATGATGTGCTTCATTTATTGATTTGTGTATTTTCAACCATGCCTGCATTTCTGAGGTGAATCCCACTTGGTCACGATGTATAATCTTCTTGATGATTTGCTGCATTCTGATTGCTAGAATTTTATTGAGGATTTTTGCATCTATGTTCATTAGGGAGATTGGCCTGTAGTTCTCTTTTTTGGTTGGGCCTTTCTCTGGTTTTAGTATCTCATAGAGGCACTGTTGCAGAAAAACTAATATCAAACCAAGTGGAAGACTTTGTATTGAGGAGTTAGAAGGCAACATTTATTACTCTAGTAGGCTGATGGCAATCAGTCCTAAATCATTAGCCATGAGTCAGCTTAGAGTTCAGTTTAAACACAGCTTGCAAGCAGGAAGGACAAGAATAAACTGATGGCAGTTTATTACATGATTGGTTATATATATTGAATCGTATGTTGTCAAGCAAATATATTTACTTAGAAGGAATTGTTTATCATAAGGTAGGAACACTTTGGGAAAGAAGGGAGAGGGTGTGAACACAGCAAGTAGAGTTAAATGGGTCTTTGGCTGGTCAGTTTGTCCCAGACATGAAGCCCTTGAAGCAAGTTGGAAACAATATATATTTTTCTAACTAAGGAAAGACACAAGCTAGACAGTCAAGTTGGCCCAGTGCACTATCAAAGAGAAGCAGCTGGATGCACATAGTCAAGGCAGACTGAATGTAGCAGGCTACCTCCATGACAAGAGCAGGAATATAGTCATAGGCCATTAATTGGTTTTTAACTTTTGCTGTAAAATATGTAAAAATTTGCTATTTTATAACTGCCCTTACAGCACAGTATTGTGTGAAGTGCCTACGATCATGGCAACTCCTCTGGGATGGTTTCTGGATGGCAGGGAGCTATGTTTATTGAGATAAGTCTTCTCTTCTGTAATTCTGGTACACAGAGGCAGTAGGTATCATGTGAGCTTGGGTGCTAAGGGGCTAATTTTAGGAGTGACACATAGGACCTGTGTTGGTTAAGATACCTGGGGACACATCTGCTTCATAGAGCTTGTGCTCTGAGTAGCCAGAAACACATCACAGCAGCAGCTGGTATGAGGGAGATGAATGCATCCTAGCAATTTGTTTCCAGGGGATAGGAAGCTGCACCATCTCAGCTGAGCAGTGATCTATTACTCATGACGTCATGATGAAAGAGCTTCAGGGATGATGGAGTGCACTAGCCACTGGCCCTAGAGCAGGATTTACTGAGGTAATGGTTCTAGTTTTCAGACTGTGCAGTATGGTAGCAGTCTGGACCACTGAAAGCAGGGTACAACTTGGGCTTTTTCTCTAGAGTAGTACTCTTGTGTGTATTCAAGATAGCTACCCAAACTCGCTTGAGACCTATGAGAACTGCAAGGTTCTTCAGGAGTGGAGATGCAGGTATGCACTGAAGTACTGAGGGTTGCTGAGGGCACCTGACTATCTTTGGCACACAGAAGAAGTCCCTCCTAGGTCCCAGCTGATCCCAATGGGGATGGAATGGTGAATCTAGATGTTTTCTTCCCCTTTCCAAGCTCTCATGCTGACCTTGTGCTCTGTAAGGTTTCTGCTAACTTGTTTTTGTTTGAGGGAGAGGGATGAGCATTAGGAGACTCTAGTTGATTGACTAGTAAGTGTCTGTGAAACCTAGTAAGGAACAACAAAATTTTTAAAATTAAATTCTGAAAAGAAAAAGAGAGTATCTGTATGAACAATGCCTATAAAAGATTCTACAGCTCAATAGTGAAGTGGAAAATGCAAACTAAAAGCTCTATGAGCTAGCTATTATAAAAAACTCATACTGTCACTTGGTGAGAACATGGAGCAAATGGAACTTATGCATATCCTTGAGGTTGTCTAGATTTGCAAAATATATTTGGAAAACTTCTATAATCTAACCCCCTAGATTCCATTTGTTGGTGTGTACCATTAGTAATGTGCACACATGTGTACCAGTAGATACTCACAAGAATGTTCACAGAAAAATTAATTGTAAGAACAAAATATTGGAAACAACCCAACTATAAGTCTTACTTTTTTCCCAACATTAATCATGTATATCCAGTATGTAGATTTCTAAATATCTAATGTAAACTCAGGAATTTTTTTGGATAAATAGGTGGGAGAATTAGGAAAAAATTCTTAAAGTCACATGCAAGAGCAATGTGTGATATTGAGGCAAACCTTACTATTAAGTAATATGAATTAACATATATACCTTTTTATTTTCAAGACACAATTTTTATGATTTTAAGGTACTATAAAATATATACCAAAATATAGAAGAAGCCTTAGTAGATACATGAATTAAGGTGAAAATTCTCATATTCATAAAACAAAAAGTTTCCAGTAATAATATCTCTGTACATCTTCTTAGATATTTTTCTACTCAAAACATTAACAATACTCAGGTTTTTTTTCAATAGTATTACAACTTTTATATATTGAAATATAGGCTTTGATCATCATTTTGTGACATTTAATTTTAAATAAAAATAATTGTTATAAATTTTTTTGTTATTACAAACATCCTATAATAAACACTAATGTACACACATCTTGGAACAATTGTACAGTTAGAGCCTCAAAGCAGAAAATTCTGGAAAAGAATTGATCAAATCATGTATATCTTTCTTCTTTATTTCTATCTATTGCCAAAATACTAGTTCTTTTGCATGAAGCTGTAACTTCAGAAATTATTTGTTTTAAGTCAGTCAGACATGTGAGTGGTATACTTTCTAAGCTCTAGCATATCTAAAATTTTCCTTTCTTTCACTATTCTATTGAATTTTGTTTGTAATTTTCCACTGTGTCATTTAGTAATAAACTATTTCTGTACTAAGTATGAGAATAGAAATAGAACACAATATGGTCATATGGAATTAAGAACTTTTCAGACATTGTTAGCATAAAAGATGCTTGATACATTTAAACTTTTCTCATCTCCTCCACCAATTTTTGTAACTTAAATTGATATTTTAGACCTAGCTTTCAGTTAATAAATTTGCAGTTTTTATATATTGGTTTATTATTTTGGTTTAAAATAAATATATTTGTCATTTTCAGCTTTCTACTTAATAATTAACAATTTTGATTACATTTTTTATATTTGCTTCGTTTTCCATAATTTTAAAGGATGTTTTAATTTTTAATGGTGTTAAGATCCTTGTCCTGGAAGAGAATTTGGAATGCATAAATCTTGTCTCTTTCATCATTCTCCTTTCATACCCATTTAAAAATATGGGTCTGAAAAAACTGAAATAATAATCATTGCTAATACTGGTACACCCAGGATAATCATTATATAAAGTTCTCAGTATATGGTTACATGTACATAGGTGTGTGTGCATTTGTATGTTGGAGTTGGAGTTTTTATCTAATTTAAAATATATCTATAGTTAGAATCACCATTACTTTTTACTTTTTATTCTAAATCAAAATGATTCTGAAGTGGAGTTTCTAAGGCACTTACATTATTTATTGACCTGAATATATTCTCAACATGGACAAATAGTAATTTAGGAAGCTTCTTGTATTAAAAACTGAAGAGTATATGAAGTTGAAATAACAAGTGTTATTCTTGGTTTTTTTCTGGAATTAGTTTTCTTTTGTAATTTTGCCCTTCAATCACCCTTGTTTTTAATTACTTGAGTTTTAAAATATGTTATTTATAAAAAGGTTGAGCAACACTGGGATTTTATGTTTTGGTTTTTCCTACAGCAAGTCTCCAGCAAACAAGGAATCTAATGCTGAGGCAAAAGATGTACAAAAACCTTCTGAAGTGGCCTACCTCAAGAAGGAAACAAACAATTTCTCCACCACATCTGTCACCTCACACTGAGGTGTTCCAACTATGTAATAATAAATCATCTGTGATTGAATCTCCTGACTGGTGTCTGATATCTTCCATGTATTCAATTCCAGTTTCTACCTTATCTATCATAACATATGTTCAGAAAAGGCTCAGAAACAGGTGAATACAGATTAAGACCCTTATTCAGTGAAAGCAACAAGTTCTGCCAGTTCTGGCTCACAACTCAGGCCATGGAGCATTCTTTGACCTTTTCCTTCTGCACTGTAGATTGACCCAAATCTCCTTCCCTCAGTCTGACCTCCCTACTTTCTTGAAGAATTTGTAGGCTCCACCTAGTCTGCCACTTGTCCCAGTGACGTTTACAAAGATAGGAACTGGATCTAAGCCCTTATAGGTCCTGTTTCACCACTTGGAAAGTCCCATATCTGCTTTTGTGCATTGGTATAACTGTTTACCAAAAGTAGATTTGTCATGAAGGTAAGAAGTAAAAGCTCCAGGGGCACCTATTGCTACAACCTTTTTCAAAGTCATGGATCTAAGCTTGTATTCTTAGTGTTGATCATATTTTACATGGTTCAGGCCACCCTCAACATGAGTGCACCTATGTTGTTTCCTGATTTCCTTGGTAGGGGAACCATGGAGCTAGTTCACATCAGCTCACCAGGGCAGATCATTAAATTTTTAGAACTAGCGCAAATCAGGAATTAGGCAGCTTTTATTAAAACATTATTTCCATTTAAATTTATTAAAAACTAATACTTATTACATTTCTTTGTGGTTGTTGTATCTGTACGGTGAAATTCCTATGCAGCATTATAGTGTGTGCTTCCCATCTCCTCCAGCTCTCTTTCTAAAAGCATCAAAGAGTAGCTTAAAACTGACCTTCACTGAAGATGATAAACCTATAAATCAGGGTTCCTGTCCTCTAGAGGGCCAACTACGTAATCTTTACCAGCATGCCGTGCCCTTTAGGTATCCCTGGTTATTTTTCTCAGTAGTTTGTTGGAGGTACTTTTTCTTCATAAAAATGGTACTAATCTATCCTCAACTCTTCCTGGATCAAGATATCCAGTTGCTTGGGTCACTAGTAAATATGACATGATTTGGGTAAATTTCGAGTGCCATATTTGTAGGAAGTAAAAATGTATTTCATACCTGCTCTGTTATGGAAGGTAGAGAAATTGTTTATACCATCTAAAATGATTAAAGTTACCAAGTCACACTGTAAGGATTTTGCTTTTAGAGCTGTTCAAATATGGATGAGCTGGAAGGTCTGAGGAAAGGAGCATCATGATAGACAAAAATCTCCCAGTTGCTGTGATTAACTAACAAATTTTGTAAGAACTAAGGTGAGCAAACTAATCAAGTGGCTCTGGGACAAGGTGAGTTTGGAACTTATGTAGGAGCATTTCTACTTTCACTGTGACCTACTCATAAATGGTAAAAAGTAGAGAGTGAAGAAGGATTTACAAACATGGAGTAGAAATGTTTTGCAGAAAAATCCTTTTGCTTTTAGGGTTGAAAATGGAGGCGAATGCTATTAGTATGAAGGTGCTGTGAACATTAAATATTTTGCTTCCTGAAAGCTTACTTTATTGCCTATAATTCCACACACATTGGGTCAAAGGCCTGTAAAGATTTGGAAATCCTGTAGTTGCATAATACTTTGAGAGCTTATTTTAAATAGTGAAAATGAAGCTTTTCAATTTTTAAACAGTAAAATGTGTGTTGTTATGCAGATACAAGTTGCCATGGGATATTTATTTTATAGTAAGTATACATTCTCAAAAATCAAAATGTAATATTGCAGACAGAATCTGATTCTTGACCTTTTTTTGAAATTGCTCTGATGAAACCATCACTTAACCTCAATATGGAATATGAGGATTTTTGTTCTGGAAACAGAAAGCTAATGCAATAGTCAAACTAAATATCAATCAAAATATATTAAATATTTGTATCAAATGGTCAACATGTGGAAAAACATCAGTCTAGGTGATATGTCTACCTCAAGAAAGAAATATGTCAAAGACATTTATTAATTTAAAATGTAAAGAAGGAGAATACACCTTAGTAATATGTGGATATGTTAGTAGTATGTGGATTACTCTAAGTTCTTATTCTCTCGCTTTTCTTAGTTGATATTTGGTTATTCCACTGCTTAGGAGAAGGCCTTTCAGATAGTAGACACAGTAATAAATATTTGTTGACTGAAATTATATAGCCATACCTAGAAATATTTGACACAGACAAGTTTTAGGGTTTGTTCCAAGAAGAAAATCTGACTCCCATGATACAACTGTTCTGTAAATTTCTACTAATTATTTAACTAAGGCATAGTAAAGCTACTCTCACTAAGGCATTGTCATATGAATCTTACACATTTTACATTTATTTTTAGTATTTAAATGTCTAAGATATTAAGTATATGAGTATTATTTTGGTTTTTCGTTGGTCATTCATATTCCATAAATTTTTGGTTTACACATATGGGAGTTGTATTCTCCCTCTTCACATTTTAAATCAATAAATGTCTTTGATATATTTCTTTCTTGAGATAAACGTATGGCTTAGATTGAGGTTGTCCCACCTGTTGACCATTTAATGCAAATATTTAATATATATTGATTGATATTTAGTTTGACTATTGCATTAACTTTCTGTTTCCAGTACAAAAATACCAGACATGCACAGTTTAAAGGAGAAAAGATTCATTTGGGCTCATGCTTTCAGAGTTTTCAGTCTGTTGTCAGTTGATTTCAAGGCAGAAGCAGTATGGCAGAGGAAAGCTGCTTATCTCATAGCAGAGAAAGCAGAGAGTGGGTTTAAGAGTGACAGACAAGGAGGCAGAGACAAAACTTTCCATGCCATGTTATACTCTCAGTGGCCTACTTCCTCCAACCAGTCTCCACTTTCTAATAGCACATTCAGCCATAAATTCATCAAGGAGTTAATCTTATTAGGTTAGTACCCTACAGTCTAATCATCTTCCACAAGCCCGTCTGAGCACATGAGTCTTTTGGGGACATTTTTTATCTAAATGATAACTTTTTTTCTTTTTTTTTTGGTACCAGGAATTGAACTTAGGACCTTGTGCTTGCCAGGCAGGCACTTGTGCCACTGAGCTAAATCCCCAGCCCAATGATACTGTTTTGCCATTGGCCCCCAAAAATTCATGTCAGTATATTTATGAAAATGTATTTACCTCATCTCTAAGAGTTGCCACGGTTTCAAAAGTTCCAGCATTTCTCAAATCTAAGGTCAAAATCCAGAATCTTTCCTGAAGCTCAAGCAACACTTAGCAGTGAATGCCTATGAGTTATACACTCCTAAGATACAATGGTACAGGATAAACATTCCCATCCAAAAGAGGAGAAGCAGAGGGACTAAAAAGGAACATAAACAAAGAAAGACTGTTATGGTTTAGGTTTAAATGATCCGTGAAAGACTCATGTGCTCAGAGGTGGGGTATTGGGAAGGTGACTAGATTATGAGGCACTATAAGTTCAGAACTTGTGAGGGTCAGAGCTGAATGTGCTGTTAGGATGTGGGCCTGATCAAAAGAGGGAGGTCTCTGGGTCCATCACCTGGAAAAGTGTATTGTATCCAGCTCCTCCTTTCTCCCTCTGCTTCCCAGCCATGATAGGTTGAACAGCTTTTCCTTCACCACGCCCTTCCACTGTGGCACTTCCTCCATGGACCCAGCAGACCATGGACTGAAACCAAGAGTCAAAGTAAACCTCTCCTCCTTTAAGTTGTGGGTGTTGAATATTGTGTGCAGTGACAGAAAAGTGACTAAGACAAAAACCAAAACCCACCATGGCAAACGTTATATCCCATAGCTCTATGATCAGCTCTGGGGTGTATGGTGGTGAGATGTGAGTTCCAAATGTCTTGGGCAACCCAACCATGTCCTTGATGGTTGCAGATCACATGGCCTCTCTCCTGCACCAGCTCTGCTCACTGCCTGAAGACATTCCACATTTCACCTTGTTGGCTTCTCCAAATTTCTTGGGTCTCCACTGAATATGTGGGATCACTCTCAGAGCCTCACTTTTCCATGGGCTAGTGGTAGAGAGTGGAACTCTGTAATATATTGCCTAGCCTTCATCTGAAATCTGGGTGAAATCCTCCATGATCTCATAACTCTTGCATTCTTCATGCTTGCAAAACTATCATCACACAGATAATGCTAAAGTCTGCCACAAGCTGGAGCAGTAGCCATGCCTACTTGGACCATGGCTGCAGTGGCCTTGGAGAACCAGGGAAACATTACCTTGCATAGCCCTGAACTCTAGTACACCACTTACATAATAATTATGCTTTATTATAATAATTAATTGTTATATTATTTTTATAATATTTATTTTTCTCATTTTAGTGTAATTGTGAATATGTGCTGTGAAGTATTGAGTTAGTAGTAGTGGGTAGATACAGCACACCACTTGTATAATTCCTAATTTGATAGAGCTACTTTTGAGTTTCACAGTAGATACCCTTAGAATAGAATAAAATGCTTGTTTGCCATGGAAAGCATGTTAACTCTACATCAGAACTATCACTAGGAATTAGTTATCTCATAAGAACTGCAAGGAGTCTCCACCCTCCATGCACCCAGTGCAGACAGAAGACCCAGACTCAGAAGGCCCACAAAATGATAACACAGGGTTTCATGTTTGGGCCCTCCCTGCACATGCCCTGCACTACGTGAGGTACTAGAGCAGGCAGAGCATGAACTGCTAGCACCGTGGTTTGAGTCTGGGCTTTACTTGCACCCTGACCTCCCAGAGGTCACAGAGACAGGTAGTCTGTGATCACCGCCAGTGCAGCCCACATCTGACTCCTTTATGTACCCTGAGCTGACTGGAGACACAGAATCAGGTGGTCCGTGACCCACTGACATCATGGTTCTCAGCTGAACACCCAGAGAACTAGGATTTCCCATCTACTTCCTGGGGACAGAGCACATGACCTGTGACCCCGCCACCATTACAGTCTGAGTCTCTGCCCTCTATGCACCTGGTATGACAGGGGATCCAGACTCAGAAGGTCCACAAACTGCTAACACAGGG